GGGGGGGGAAGGGAGGCAGGAGGAGAGAAGAGGAAGAGAGGCGACGAATAGGAGCAGGAGGAGGAGGAGGAGAAGAGAGGAAGGGCGAGAGAGGTAGCGGAACGGGAGAGGAAGGAGAGAGAAGAGAGAGAGGGCGAGAGGAGCTGGCCAGCCGTCCCTACTGGGCAGACGCCGCCCTCTCGCCCGGTTTGGGGCTCATTAGCGACGCCTTCTCCAACGCTCTCCCCAACAACGCGTCTTTTTCCAACAACGCGTCTTTTTCCAACAACGCGTCTTTTTCCAACAACGCGTCTTTTTCCAACCATTCTTTCCCCAACAACGCGTCTTTCCCCAACAACTCTTTCCCCAACAACGCGTCTTTTTCCAACAACTCTTTCCCCAACAACGCGTCTTTTTCCAACAACGCGTCTTTTTCCAACAACGCGTCTTTCCCCAACAACGGGTCTTTCCCCAACAACGGGTCTTTCCCCAACAACGCGTCTTTTTCCAACAACGCGTCTTTCCCCAACAACGCGTCTTTTTCCAACAACGCGTCTTTCCCCAACAACTCTTTCCCCAACCACGCGTCTTTTTCCAACAACGCGTCTTTCCCCAACAACGCGTCTTTCCCCAACAACGCGTCTTTCCCCAACAACGCGTCTTTCCCCAACAACGCGTCTTTTTCCAACAACGCGTCTTTCCCCAACAACGCGTCTTTTTCCAACAACGCGTCTTTCCCCAACAACGCGTCTTTCCCCAACAACGCGTCTTTCCCCAACAACTCTTTCCCCAACAACGCGTCTTTCCCCAACAACGCGTCTTTCCCCAACAACGCGTCTTTTTCCAACACGCGTCTTTTTCCAACAACGCGTCTTTTTCCAACACGCGTCTTTTTCCAACAACGCGTCTTTTTCCAACAACGCGTCTTTCCCCAACAACGCGTCTTTTTCCAACAACGCGTCTTTCCCCAACAACGCGTCTTTTTCCAACAACGCGTCTTTTTCCAACAACGCGTCTTTTTCCAACAACGCGTCTTTTTCCAACAACGCGTCTTTCCCCAACAACGCGTCTTTCCCCAACAACGCGTCTTTCCCCAACAACGCGTCTTTCCCCAACAACGCGTCTTTCCCCAACAACGCGTCTTTTTCCAACACGCGTCTTTTTCCAACAACGGTCTTTTTCCAACAACGCGTCTTTCCCCAACAACGCGTCTTTCCCCAACAACGCGTCTTTCCCCAACAACGCGTCTTTCCCCAACAACGCGTCTTTCCCCAACAACGCGTCTTTCCCCAACAACGCGTCTTTCCCCAACAACGCGTCTTTCCCCAACAACGCGTCTTTCCCCAACAACGCGTCTTTCCCCAACAACGCGTCTTTTTCCAACAACGCGTCTTTCCCCAACAACGCGTCTTTTTCCAACAACGCGTCTTTCCCCAACAACGCGTCTTTTTCCAACAACGCGTCTTTCCCCAACAACGCGTCTTTTTCCAACAACGCGTCTTTCCCCAACAACTCTTTCCCCAACAACGCGTCTTTTTCCAACAACGCGTCTTTCCCCAACAACTCTTTCCCCAACAACGCGTCTTTCCCCAACAACGCGTCTTTCCCCAACAACGCGTCTTTCCCCAACAACGCGTCTTTTTCCAACAACGCGTCTTTCCCCAACAACGCGTCTTTCCCCAACAACGCGTCTTTCCCCAACAACGCGTCTTTCCCCAACAACGCGTCTTTTTCCAACAACGCGTCTTTCCCCAACAACGCGTCTTTCCCCAACAACGCGTCTTTCCCCAACAACGCGTCTTTCCCCAACAACGCGTCTTTCCCCAACAACGCGTCTTTCCCCAACAACGCGTCTTTCCCCAACAACGCGTCTTTCCCCAACAACGCGTCTTTCCCCAACAACGCGTCTTTTTCCAACAACGCGTCTTTCCCCAACAACGCGTCTTTTTCCAACAACGGTCTTTTTCCAACACGCGTCTTTTTCCAACAACGCGTCTTTTTCCAACAACGCGTCTTTCCCCAACAACGCGTCTTTCCCCAACAACGCGTCTTTTTCCAACAACGCGTCTTTCCCCAACAACGCGTCTTTCCCCAACAACGCGTCTTTTTCCAACACGCGTCTTTTTCCAACAACGCGTCTTTTTCCAACAACGCGTCTTTCCCCAACAACTCTTTCCCCAACAACGCGTCTTTTTCCAACAACGCGTCTTTCCCCAACAACGCGTCTTTCCCCAACAACGCGTCTTTCCCCAACAACGCGTCTTTCCCCAACAACGCGTCTTTTTCCAACACGCGTCTTTTTCCAACACGCGTCTTTTTCCAACAACGCGTCTTTTTCCAACAACGCGTCTTTCCCCAACAACGCGTCTTTTTCCAACAACGCGTCTTTCCCCAACAACGCGTCTTTCCCCAACAACGCGTCTTTTTCCAACAACGCGTCTTTTTCCAACAACGCGTCTTTTTCAACACTCCCTCCCTCCTCCTCCTCCACCTCCTCCCATCCTCCTCTCCCTGCCCCTCCCTCCCCCCCCTGCCCCCCCGTCGACGGCCAGCCCCCTTTAATCTGTGAGGCACTCGGGATCCCCCTCTCCGCTGCGCGCAGTGTCTCTCGCCCCGAGGCCCAGCAGCGGAGAGACCACCTCCCCCCCTACCCCCCCCCACCGCCCTCCCCATCATCACCATCCCCACCCCCCCCATCACCATCTCCTCCTCCTCCAGCAGCAGCAGAAGGAGGAGGAGGAGGAGCAGCATCACGGTCCTCCTCTTGCTCTTCCTCATCTCCTTCCTGCTTCTCCTGCTTCGCCTCCTCCTCCTCATCTTCATCTTCCTGCTTCTCCTCCTCCTCCTCCTCCTCCTCCTTCTTCTTCTTCTTCCTCGTCTCCTAATGAGCCGAGCTCCTCTCACCCCCTCCCCCTCCCCCTCCATCCTCCTACCGCCTCGGCCACCACCTCCTCCTCCTCCTCCTCCACCCCTGCCACGTCAGGCTCCACCACTACCACCTCCACCTCGACCTCCACCTCCACCTCGACCTCCACCTCGACCTCCACCTCGACCTCCACCTCGTCCTCGACCTCGACCTCGACCTCGAGCCTGAAGCGCAGGGGATTCCTACACAAGTTCTCGCTGCGGGCGGCCTGGCCCTCGAGGAAGAGCAAGGCCAAGAGCGACAAGAGCAAGGCGGCGGAGCCCACCAACCCCCCTCCCCCTCCTTCCCCCGCCGGCGTCGTGGGCGTGGGCGTGGGCGGCAGGAAGCACGCCCACGCCCTTGGCCACCCGAGGCCCGTGGAGACGTACGGGAGGCTGAGGGAGGAGGAGGAGGAAGAGGAGGAGGAGGAGGAAGAAGAGGAGGAGGAGAAGGAAGAGGAGGAGGAGGAAATGGAGGAAGAAGAGGAGGAAGAGGAGGAGGAGGAAGGAAGAGTGCGGGCGGGAAGGCCTGTGCTTGTGGGAGGGCCGCAGAGAGGACACGGAGAAGGAAGAGAAGGAAGAAGAGGAGGAAGAGGGAGAGAAGGAGGAGATGGAAGAGGAGGAAGAGAAGGACGAGGAGGAGGAGGAGGAGGAGGAGGAGGAGGGAGAAGAGGAGGCGTGCAGTCGTCCTCCTCCTCGTCGTCGTCCTCATCCTCGTCCTTCTCCTACTCCTCCCCGCCCCCCGCTGCCGAGCCTCCCCCCTCCTCCCTCCCCCTGGCTCCCCCCCATGGCTCCTCCTCCTCCTCCTCCTCCTCCTCTTCTTCTTCTTCCTCTTCTTCCTCCTCTTCCTCCTCCTCTTCCTCCTCGCTCTCCGCCCCCCCTCCGGCCTCCGAGCTCCCCGCGGGCGCCTCGAGGCCCAGCGCCCGGGGCGTGGGCGCCGTCGGCCCCCAGGCCCTCAGGGCCCCCCCCTCCCCCCGCCCGCCCCCGCCCCCTTCGCGCGGGACGGCCGAGGGCTGCGCCCCGGGGCCCGGCGGGGGGGGCGGGGGGGAAGGGGCGCTCCTCGGGGCCCAGGAGGACGTGCCCTTGCCGCCCGTGCCCGAGGGAGCGGTCCTCAAGGCGGGCGGCGCGAGGGGGGCGGGGGCGCTGCTCCTCGAGGGCGACGCAGCCAGGGCGTCCAAGTGGGACTCGAGGCCCGACTTCGCCCAGTACGCGTCCTCCTCCTCGTCGTCGTCGTCGTCGTCGTCGTCGTCCAGCTCGTCCTCGGGCTTCCCGTCGTCCCCCTACAAGGCCGGCCTGCGCAGGGACGTGGGAGGAGCCGCAGGAGCCGCCGCAGGAGGAGCCGCCGCCGCAGCCCCCGCCCCCCCGGCCAGCCTGCCGCTGACGCACGACCTGCTGCCGCCGGCGGACTGCGGGCCGCTGGGCGCGGGCGGCCGCCAGTCGCCGGCGCCCAGCGAGGTGAGCAAGACGGAGTCCGCGCTGTCGCCGCCCTCGCACGCCTCCGACGTGTCCAAGAGCGAGTCGGCGCGCCAGCTGAGCGTGGGCAGGGGCAGCGTGGGCAGGGGCAGCGTGGGCAGGGGCAGCGTGGGCAGGGGCAGCGTGGGCGACGCCGGCAGCTGCAGGGAGGGCTCCTCGGCCGCGTCCTCTTCCTCCCTCGACTACACGCCCACGCTCTTGCCCTCCATCAGGAAGCAGCTCAGCGTCAGGACCGCCAACATCGTCGGCATCTCGTGCGAGCAGAAGGCGGCGCTCGGGGGGGGCGGAGGAGCTGCACTCGCGGCGCCGGCGGCCAAGGTGAGGGGGGGGGATAGATAGATAGATAGATAGATAGATGGATGGAAGGAGAGAGAGAGAGAGAGAGAGAGAGAGAGAGAGAGAGAGAGGGATGGGAGAGAGAGAGAGAGAGAGAGAGAGAGAGAGAGAGAGAGAGAGAGAGAGAGAGAGAGAGAGGAGAGAGAGAGAGAGAGAGAGAGAGAGAGAATGAGACAGACAGAGAGACAGAGAGGATGGGAGAGAGAGAGAGAGAGAGAGAGAGAGAGAGAGAGAGAGAGAGAGAGAGAGAGAGGAGAGAGAGAGAGAGAATGAGACAGACAGAGAGGATGGGAGAGAATGAAACAGACAGAGAGGATGGGAGAGAGAGAGAGAGAGAGAGAGAGAGAGAGAGAGAGAGAGAGAGAGAGAGACGAGAGAGAGAGAGAGAGAGAGAGAGAGAGAGAGAGAGAGAGAAAGAAAGAGAGAGAGAAAAAGAAAAAGAGGGAGAGAGAGAAAAAAAAAGAGAGAGAGAGAGAGAGAAAGAGGGAAAGAGAGAGGAGAGAGAGAGAGAAAAAGGAGAGGAAAAATGATAATATTGACAACAATAACCTTAATAATAATAGTAATTTTAGTATTGATAATGATGATGATAGTATTTATTATAATAGTAATGACAATGATTAATGACCATAAGGAAAATTTATAGTAATAAAAAGGATAATTATAATAATAATAAAGATAATAATGATAATAGTGATGATACCTGTCATGATAATAATAATGAAAATGATAATGATAATAATGGTAATAATTATGATAATAATAGTAATATTTATGATAATATTAGTAATAATTATGTTACTAATTGTAATTATTATGATAATAGTAATAATTATGATAACAGTAATAATGATAATAATGATGATTACTGTCATAATAATAATAGTAATAATGGTAATAATTACGATAATAATAGTAATAAAATAGTAATAGTAATAATGGTAATAATTACGATGATAATAGTAATAGTAATAATTGTAATAATTACGATAATAATAAAGATAGTAACAAAGATAAAAATAGTAATAATGGTAATAATGACGACAACAATCGGCATAATGACAATGCCAATTAACTGATGTGATTGACGTCGCCTTCCAGATGACCGAGGCCGCCGTCCGGGGGATCCCCACCCCCCCCTCGACCTCGGCCTGCGAGAGGGGCGGCGAGGGGCGCGGGGGGGAGAGAGCCAGGGGCCAGAGCGAGAGGGACAGACCCCAAGGCGAGAGGGAGAAAGACCGGACGAGACGAGGAGGAGGAGGAGGGGAAGAGAGGCGAGGAGGAGGAGGAGGAGGAGGGGAAGAGAGGCGAGGAGGAGGAGGAGGAGGGGAAGAGAGGCGAGGAGGAGGAGGAGGAGGGGAAGAGAGGCGAGGAGGAGGAGGAGGAGGCGAGGAGAGGCCCTGGTACGAAGTCTCCGACGAGGAAGACGAGGACATCCTCCTTCCCGACCGGCTCGTGGGCAAGGGGGGGGGGACAAGGCTCTGCTGTTCGTCCTCCTCCTCCTCCTCTTCTTCCTCCTCCTCCTTGCCGTCCGATGCTGCGGCATCCTCCTCCTCCTCCTCCACTTCGCCCTCGGCCAGCTCGGAGGACGAGGCAGAGGTCTAATAGAGAGAAGAGAGAGAGAGAGAAGGGAGAGAGGAAGAAAGGAGGAAGAGAGACAGAGAGGAAAGAAAATGAGAGGAAGAAAGGAGGAAGAGAGACAGAGAGGAAAGAAAATGAGAGGAAGAAAGGAGGAAGAGACAAAGAGGAAAGAAAGTGAGAGGAAGAAAGGAGGAAGAGAGACAAAGAGGAAAGAAAGTGAGAGGAAGAAGGGAGGAAGAGAGACAAAGAGGAAAGAAAGTGAGAGGAAGAAAGGAGGAAGAGAGACAAAGAGGAAAGAAAGTGAGAGGAAGAAGGGAGGAAGAGAGAGACAGGAAAGAGTAAGAGAGAAAAGGGAGAGAGGAAGAAAGGAGAAAGAGACAGAGAGAGAAAGAAGGGAAGTTCATAGAATATCGAACTAGAGAGAGAGAGAGAGAGAGAGAAAAAATATAGTGCTGGAAATTGGTGCCAAATTAGAGAAAAGTGAAAATAGTCCTGCCAGTGTTATAAACATTTTTGCCAACATTAGAAAGTGTTGTCAAATATTAAAAACATTTCTGCCAACATTAGCAAGTGTTGTCAGTATTGAAGGCAGTGTTGCCAACATTAAAAACATTAGGAAGTGTTGCCAACATTAAAAACATTAGGAAGTGTTGCCAACATTTAAAACATTAGGAAGTGTTGCCAACATTAAAAACATTAGGAAGTGTTGCCAACATTTAAAACATTCCTGCCAGTGTTATAAACATTAGGAAGTGTTGCCAACATTAAAAACATTTCTGCCAAAAAGTGTTATCTGCATTAAACGGCAGCATTGAATTTCTTATGCTATAAACATTTCTGCCAGTGGTAAAAATTGTGTTGCCAACATTAAAAACAGTCCTGCCAACATTAGGAAGTGTTGTCAGCGTTAGAAACAGTGGTGCCAACATTAGGAAGCGTTGTCAGCGTTAGAAACAGTGTTGCCAACATTAGGAAGTGTTGTCAGCATTAGAAACAGTGTTGCCAACATTAGGAAGTGTTGTCAGCGTTAGAAACTGTGTTTTTGGTATTGGAAACAGTGGTGCCAACATTAGGAAGTGTTGTCAGCATTAGAAACAGTGGTGCCAACATTAGGAAGCGTTGTCAGCATTAGAAACAGTGGTGCCAACATTAGGAAGTGTTGTCAGCGTTAGAAACAGTGTTGCCAACATTAGGAAGTGTTGTCAGCGTTAGAAACTGTGTTTTTGG